AGAACTCAGACAGGGTCTTTGGAACCTCGCTCATTCTTGCGCTGCTATACCGTAAAGTCGTAAAGCAAATGACATACCATTCGAAAGAGCTCTTCATGCTCCTTCAAAGAATATATTGAACATACAGGATTTCCTTCTATTTCTGGATAAAAAAAGCGAAATACCTGAAAAATCGCGATTTTTGGCGCAATAAAAAACCATAAAATTATGTTTTGCCCTATAATTTCCGAGGATAGATAAAATCTGAGATAAACTTTATATGAATGGAGAGAGCGTAAAAAGCTCTTTCAGATGGTACTTAAAAAACATGCGTTCACCTGGAAGGAATTGAATAACGCGTATCTTCATTTTCGAAGCTGCTGATGGCCATATCTCCTGACTTTGGAAGTTGAAGCCACCGAGCCGTCGTGAGTTTGGTAACTGTTCCACCACCCACTCCAACAGTGGTACTTTGGGTGGTCTCACATTTTTCACCGCGCAGATACTGCCCAAAGTTTATAATTTGTCAAAGTGAGTAACTTTGCATTTCACCCACTATAAAAATTATTACGTATGTAAATGATCTTATATAGGTATCTTCTGAAAGAGAATAACTTATACTAACATCTATCAAAATTGGAAAGTTTCACCACTTTTCTTTTTTGAAAAATCTATAGTTATTCTTTAGGTGCCCCATTTTTATCGATCACCCTGATAGTTCAGAGGAATGCAGGAAACACTCTGACCAAACATTTTGACCGAATTCAAATCGCATCCACTTTGCTAACAAATGGGTCAATAAACGGATGGTTCGAATAAGTTCATTTTTTCGAGAAGTGGACGGAAGATAATACGATCGGAATTCTTTTTGAAGTGAAGAGCAAAAAGAGGGGTTGTTTATGTAGGTGGGCATGGAGAGAAGGAGAGAGAGGGGTGGGAGTTGAAGGGCATATGCGGGAGCTCCTGAACAATTACCACGTTGTTTTCAATATTTGGGTCAATTTATGTGGTCCCTTCAGTTTTTGGCTACGGTGATCGAATCTCTGGCCATTAGCAAAATCATCTCATTTCCGTATATTTCGCGATATGTTGATTAAGTATTAGATTGCAACCAGGTTAAGATAATCAGTCAATAGGTGACAAAACTCATTCAGCTTTCTAAAAATCGACTAGTGAGGACCGTAACAATCACTAAAGGACGAACCTGAGTGATAACAACGGAGAGAAGCAATGGATTAATGGCCGACAATTGGTAAATGGGTGGAAAAATAACCGGTTTAAATGAAATGAAATGATATCGGTGATTATAAATGATGTAGCCTGCATAAACCTTGATTTCTCGCTCCTATCTGCATAAGTCAATCCGGTTATAGTCAATGAAGAACATTAGGCCTATAAGCACAAAGGGTGCTTGTGACATAGATCATTCTATGCAAAATAAAGAAGCAAAATTCGAACTTTTTGATAGCGTCATCAGCGATGAGCACTGTTCCACAGCTATATAATTGTTTGCGAACTTTCTTATCTGAGTGAGAATGTTCTTGAGCTAGAGTACCTTAGGCTACTAGAAGATATGTAGAGGTAAATAAATGAATTAAAATTTAACCATCCGAAGATAGGAAATTACGCAATGATAAAAAATCATTGCAGGTTATCCCCTCACTACCAACTGCATGCGCATAAACTTGAACATTCATGAAGTAGTGATGACATAAATTTAAAAAAATTATCTATTATGTATTCCACAAGAATATTAGGCAGAATGATTGTATCACATCATCTTGTCTTGCTCATTCTAATCAGAAGCAATCTTATTGTTCAAAGTACAAAAGCACTTTGTTTACTTTATCAGTGACGTTCACACACGAAAATCAGATGCAAATATATGTAATTGGTCACAATTTGTGATACTTACTTACTTAGACACTTATATGGCCCCTTCACGTGACGTGCGGGCCCAGCACAGAATTTTCCATTTTTTCCTGTCCCTCGCTTCAAACATCCACGATCTTCTTAGCTGACGTCGGTGGCTGCGTCCACGAGTTCCAGGCGCAAAAATCGCATCCAGCTGATTTCTCAGCTGATCCATCCGTTCCACGAACACGTCTGCCCATCTCGTTGGAGGTCTTCCTTGGGAACTTTTTGCTTCGCGACGAATCCACTTAAATGTTCTTAGTTTCCATATGTCGTCTGTTCTTCTCATGTTGTGACCGGCCCATCGCTTCGCTTTCGCAACGTAATCTGCTCACGAAGACGATACATTCTTCTCATATCCGTACTGCGAAGTCCGAATAGATATTGCTTTCGTCGGGTCATCTTCAGAAGACTACGCTCCGGTGCTCTAGGGTGGTCTTTAAGGCTTTCGGCGTGGCTACGGTGTCAGCCCAAGTCTCAGCTGCGTAACAGAGCCTCGGGAGAACGGTTGAGTCGAACAGGTGGTCACGAAGCTCCGGCTCCATCAGTTGGTCGATGGCTTCCTTCAGAGGCCCGAAGGCGACCTAGACTGCTCTTCTTCTCCTGTTAAGTTCTTTACTCAAGTCGTTCTGCACATTCATCGAACGTCCGAGATACACGTAAGAAGACGTCTCCATAATTGAGGTGCCTTCCAGTTTCATTTCTGCATCTTCGCAAAGGGCGTTCTTCATGAACTGAGTCTCCTTCCGATTGATTCGCAATCCGATCTTTTTCCCTACTTCGTTCAGTTCCTTCAGCATCGTCTCTACTTCAATACTGCTTAAAAGAGAACGATGTTCCGCAAAACGAAGATTTGACAGGAATCTCCCATCAACTCGTATGCCTCTCTCTCCCAGTCCAGTGACTTCATCACCCACTAAAAGGCCGCGGTGGACAGTTTCTGCAAAATTGTGTCGCCTTGTCGGACTTCTTTCCCAATGGGGATGGTCAGGGGGCGATCCACAAAATTTATTCACATGTATGAAATAACGAGAAAATCACAAAATAGGGTAAATGATAAGAGAAAGGCATAATTTTTAGCACAATGTTTCAATGTGACTTTGCGGAGAGTTTGAATATCAAAAACAGTTGCAGCTCTTAGAAATCAGAGGAGACCTCTGAAACTTACAAATACAGCTACAATTCATTATGGTGGCTCAACATGCCGAACCCTCCAAAGTATGAGACAAGTGATAAAAAGTGATAGTGATAATGATACATGAATAACCAACATATAACGGCCCGCACATGTCGTCTACCCTCTTCAATACAACACAGCGCGTTCGTCCTCAAAGCTCCTCCTCACCTGATATAACCGTCTTAAGCTACCCGCACTTTGACCGTTAATGGCAAAGCGACTGTGTCGGAGAAAACATGATATAAACAACAAATTTAGCGTGATCTACAAACATGAGTAATAAGTACAGCACCTTTCTGAAGAATTTCGTCATGTCTGTAATTCTATCATTCAAAAAAGCATCGATGATTAGGAAATCTTTCACAACTATGCCGTACTGGATATTCTTGAAAACTAAGTTTTAACATAAAGAGCCCAAGCTCCTTTGAAGGTAGAAGAAGATGAAGTTGCCAGGGGCTTCGCTCCACAAAAACTGAAAAAAGCGAAGGTTGAAACTAAGAGACTTCACAAACAACTCACATCATTTCAGATGTCTACATCGCCCGGTATATCATAGTTCCAATTGTTCGTATCCATGAGATATTTCGCAATTATGCGACTGATGGTAAACTGCATGAAACTCCTACGAATATGTGCTGTATTCTATTGATCTATGATGGATTACATAAAAAGCTCACATCTTCTGTCCCATGAGTAGCCCTTTTCAACGTAACAGCCATGACATCGTTTCCTTTAGGAACTAGCCGACTTTTTAAAAATCGCTCAAACTCGTAATCGTTTATACCTTTTGACAGTAGACCGTCCTCTAAAATTCTTAGTCTTGAACACGACAAGAAGCCCTTCCTCATACTTACGAATTTGGTGTATATCGATTAAGACTTTTCACCCGATATCCTAGTGACTCTAATGTCTCAGTACTTTTCTAGCATCCTTATTGCTCTTAAACTAAATATATTTATTTGCTAAAAGCAGCAGCTAAAATTGAGCATTACCTCCACAACAGCACTATCTGTACAAGGACTGCCATACCAGGAAACTTTGTAAGTCATTTGACCTTTGATGGAATCCCACTGAGATGAGGCGCACAGTAAAACACCAGGCAAAAAATAAAACCATTTTTCATTCTGCATCTTAATCCAACATAAGAAGCTAGTGCTTCGGCCATTGAGCTGTGATAGCGGCGTACTTCTTCACGATCGCTAATGCTATCAACTCAAAAATTGCTGGGTTCTTGAACTGACGGATAGCTAACTATTGAGCGATGAACGACTATTTCTTCTTCTGCCGAAGTCATCCATCGCGCCTAAACCAATGCAATAAACAAGAATAACAAATAAGCGCAATCGAATTAACGCTTGTAGATCTAATAAGTGGCACACGACGTTTAAAAGAGTATGATGCGGGTAGAAACCGCATTTCCCTCCAAAGACAGCCAGAAAACAGCCTTTTATCGGCAACAATAACAACAGAAAGAACAATTAAAAGAAAATGTGGCGAGTGACAAAAATGAGAACCCACAGTGGAGTATGCGAACCGTTTAATTATTGCGAAAGCGCGCGCAAATCGATGAGATCACTAGGACGGCATGGCGTGCGCGACAATGATCTACGACACAACATCAACAGAATAGAGGTAAGAATAAACATAAACACAACAAGGCGCGCATAGGTAGGATCTTGAGCAAGCGAGAGTTCCAAAAGCGCAAGGTTTAAAGAACTTCAGAACACGAGAATGAAAAACAAGAGTGTAATCCTAAGCGCTACAAATACAGAAATTCTGCCGATCTTAATTTAAACTAGATGCAAGCGGATCAAAGTTTGATTGGCGTAGGTCAAATCTTAATTCTTTGGTGGTGATTCGCTTCTCCGAAAGTGAATCCGAAAGCTTATTCAGATTATCACTCGCATTAAGACAATATTTGTAAAAACCAATTACTCTGTTTGAACAGCACTGCATTGTGAAGGTTTATTACAAATATTATACATTAACATTCGCTTCATTGATGAACCCGCTTCTAAGTTATGCAAGGCTCTATGAACCCGAAAAATACTCACAATAAACATCTACTAACACATACAATCTAATAAATGTGGAAAAACAAAAAATCTTCTGATCCAAAATGGATCGCGTAAATTTTTACAGACTGATTATAGACTAGACATAGATCACAGAAGTGAAAGAATCGTTATATCATCAAATAGGAAATAGAAGAGTTCTACGGAGAAATGGTCAAAGCTTTTGAGATTCATTATGTAAGAAGTAGATCGCGACATCCCCTAAGAGGAAAATCCATGGTCGTTGTGCCAGTGTATTATCAGCTGACATCTCAGCTGACACATGAAGAACTGCACATATCATCTGTTGATGGGTCTCTATGTGGTCAGCTTATAGTGTGGAACTTTCAGGGATTGGCGGAAGGGCTGGAAAACACGAAATTATCGCTTTTTCATTTGATCACAAACGTTAAAAATATTTCATAGTAAGCAAATTTTGAATTTTTGTGAAATGCAGAAGTCAACCAAAAGGCTGACGGCTCCAGAAGATTTTTTTTGATTAGTGCATTTAACTTCAGTTTTCATCAGTTTAGGATTCTATGGTTTCTTCTTTCGATATAAAGAAAACTTACTAAAAAAATCATGCCCAGCACCGTGCTGTTCCGGGCTAAGAGATCCAAACGTAGTTGATGCTTGTTGACGACGATCCAAAAATCCGCAACCTGGACGTGAAACGGCGGATTTTCTAAAGAAGATACAGTGAAGCGATTTAATTGGCAATGAGATGCATTTGCCGTACTTGCATAGGTTGGGCTCAAATCTCGAGGGTATGTTCCGCGCCGTTCGGCAAACGGAGATTCAAAAGAGACAGCAAATGGTGATCGCGCATCGGATGAAGTTCGCTCTGAGAGCTGGAAAGCATTCGATTGAGAGAGTCCTATATTATGAGAGGAGAGGAGAAAAAGTTTGAGTTTTTTTTCGACTGTCCAAACCTCCCCCCCCCCCCCCCCATCTGTCATCCTTTTCTATGCAGCCATGATTATTGCCAAGATCTTGCTTGCTACCTGGAAGAAAACGTCAAAAAGCAGATAGACTTCTTCAAAGCTTCCGTTTACATTCTCATTTCATTCGACGAATGACACGCTAATCACACTCATTACAGACGGTTTGCACTTTTCAAGGCCAGTTTTTTGACTAGGGTGTGCCCTCTATGAAACTCGCCATAGAAGAAAATGCGCTTCTCGTTACGTTTAGTCAAAAAGGAAGACACGCAACGTCATGTGCATGATCTGATTATGAAAATGAAATTAGTATGGCATATTTAAAAGCTTAAAAAGATGATGATGATAACAGATGACATGTCTCACATCAATGCATTCCAGGTTTGATAAGAGACGCTGCTAATTTTTAAAATTATTACATCTAACATCACATTCACTTAACTACATTTTGTAGGCAAAATGAAAGCATTTAGTCACAGGTGTTAGATTTTACAAGTTTCGCATTGTAAAAAGTGAAGAAAAAAGTTTTTCAAGTTTGTAGCCATCGCAGAAAATATTAGTGACTCTTCAACAGATTATTTGGACTGAACCATTTTAGAAAAATTTAGTTAATGGAGTGACACACAAGCACTGTAAATACAACTTAAAGGCAGTGTCTCACCAAAATTTAGTTGCCAAGATTTTTGCATTTTGCATGCCTGTCGGACCCTGTCTAACACTGTATGGGCCTAAAATCGCACGAAGTTCCCAAAAACCCCGTTTTCTGGAGGCCCCGCGGAAGCAACGTGGACGAGTTGTACCTTGCAACTTCAACCTCAGCCACAGTGGCAGCAACAGAGGGGAGGGGATGACAAGGGAGGGACATGTTCAAACGCGTAAGGGGGAGACCGAGGGAGTCGTCCGCGCGTACCAAACCGCGTACCACTTTGAGCGAATTTCTTTTAGTGTGGAGGGAGTCAAATTGAGTGGGAGTTGTTGCAATGGCCTATTTAGGGGCCCCTATAATAGAATATGTGAAGATCCGCGCAACCTCAACTTTGGTGAGATATTGCCTTTGATAAATAGCTAATAATCAATAAAAAAGAACAAAATACCATCCCTAAAATGAGTCCTCTAGCTTTGAAGTTTCAAAAGCATAAATAAAGTCTTTCTCTACAACTTTTGTGTAAACACAAGAAATTTAATAAGCTATTGACAAAAAAGTTACATTTGAGATATGTAATGCTTCATCTCGAAAAAAGAGACAGAGGGAAGGGGTAAGAGGGAGGGGGGGGGAAGAGGCAAAAAGAAAAGAGAATGGATCTCAAATTACATTTCAGGATCTTACCTGCATGTCCTCCTCCTCTGACTCGGCAATCTCTTCGAATGAGCACGTCATTGGAATTCGATCATCTCGTCGTAGCAAGTCAGATGGTCGAATTTCGGTGCTGAATTTGAGGAACAGAGTAAATGGTGGCTGTTGTGGATTTGCGGTTGTCATCTGTAATTACGGACTTCTCCATTAACAATAACCATCGTTCACGTGACACGACCGCTGCGCGAATAATGCTAAAAGTGAAAGATATGTTTCCATTATTTGTAGAAGAGAATAGCTGTGTGAATTCTCAATATTATGACATGAAAGTACTGTCAAATTCTCATGAGGGTAGGGCAGAATACCAAGCGCTGGAAATTTTCCCAAACTAAATTATAAAATTACCACAATTTCAAACATAATATATCACTGGCAAAATGGGTAGATTACTGTAGGATACGGTACTCACACGATTTTTAGGGTACTTGTGGTATAAGTAGGCTAAATGAAGCGGTAGCTGAAATGAGATAGACATTTACAAGCATGCATTTTATTTGGGCGTGAGTAATTCTTGTTTTATACATTTGTAAACCAGCACAAAGTTTTCTTTTACAAAATTTATTGCCGAGTTAAACTAGCCGCAGACCACAGTAGTGGGATTCAGTAATGTCAAGATTTTATCTACAGCATTTATTTACCGCTAACGTTACAACATGGAACGACCGCTACAACATAAAAAGACAATGCAGCACCATGACATACTGGTTTGCTCTTCCTTAAACGTCACACGCTGCGTCATATTAACTTCGACACTCTACTCCAATGTGCAGATTTTTAGCGTGAGTGGTGCAAGTATCGCAGAAAACGCTATAAATCAAAATCTGCGTTATAAATCAGCTGACGGTTTGCAAAAAGCGATCAGTTCCAAATGGATGATAGATGATTGTTGGTATTTGTGACAGAAATTATGGAGAGGGCTTTGGTGCCTCAAAGAAGGAACACAAATGGAAATTTATTGCTTTCATAGCGCAGGAAGTTAAAGGTAACGAAGAAAAAGCATTACGGTGGAAAGGTGAATGTAGCTCAAATTACTTGCTACCCCTGATAGCCATTTTTTAGCATCAGGAAAAAACCAAACAAATTCTGCGTTAGTTATGTGCCTTTCCGTTCAAATCAAAGTTCTGAAGTGTGCAGGAATACAAGTATCAGAGGATCAATTTGGTCCTTGAGAAATGACTCCCGGAAAGAAGAGCTTAACGAAAGAGAAACGAAAAAATGCTTCCCAAACATAGCCATTTCCAGCCAATAAAAGCACTCGCTCAGCAAGAAAATGAGAAGATATCAATTGTCGCCGACCTTTGTTTTATAAAATTTCTCACAGGATTATGTGCTGCGAATGTGCCACAAGTAGGAATAAGCAAAGATGGTGCACACAATCATGAAGATGTACAGTAAGACTATTCGAAAGCATACTTAATTGTAAAAATGAAAGATCTCATGCTTCGACATCATCTTAGCTTATGAGACTAACAATAAGGCCCTATAAGTTTGACTCGTCAAGAATGAAGCCAAAGGACACTTAAAGCATTTGAAGTGTCGAGGATGGAGGCCCTTGACTTTAACACGTTGACGACCAAGCCATTTTTGACCACATCAAGATCGACTGATGATCTACGGCTGCGGTTTGGACTGTTCAACAGCTACCGCAATGCCGTGTGTTCCATATGACAACCAAGCCACAAGTGTTATCACTGCATAGAAGTTTCCTAAGAACTTTTCGTTTACACGTGATAAATTGATGCACGAAAGTGCTAAAAGATGGTCTGGGCGTGCATACGCGCGGATGCACACGGTCGTCAACGTGTTAAATACGTTTGGATGCTACGTGATAACGCTTTTTTGATTTAGGCTTTGTAGGCCACGCCCATTCCCCCCACTTCGCCCCCCGCCCTATTGGCACGCAAGAAAGAGGGAGTTGTCATGTAGAACAGAGAACACTCACGATCAGTGAAGTGCTTATAGCACAATAGAGCTGAAAATTTTTGTACCGTCTGACATATTTTTAATTTCAAAAAAAATTAAGCCTCCATAGATCTTGCCTTGATGACTGTAGGCATTATTTTCTATTTTGATCTCAAAAATTGCCTCACAAAATTCAAATGACTGCCTTAGGAACATTTACGCACAAAACGTTTTGACGACATTTCCAATTTCAGGAAGATCCTGCAATCCAACACTTATTATGTAGTCACGTACTCCATCGGACGATTAAAAGCCATTCTTATATGATAGTACTTCGATGACGGCCCATTTTGGCGCAAATGGTGTAGTCACACACACACACAGTATCGAAAAGTAAATTTTTGGACATCAAAGAGTCAACACATCTTCGTTGTACATCGAATTTGGCGTGTTTAGAGTTTCAGCACTAAAGATAAAAAGCTGGAATGGGGGGGGGGGAGAAGACAGTAAAGAACGGGTCCAGCAAGATCACCGAAAATGTTCAGATGATGACGACAGACCATAAACATATGTCAAACCCTTTGTGCTACAGTTGGTATAATTTATGCATTCATGAAAGTAGACAGTTTTTGACGCACACATGACATCCATTAGGAGTTCCATTTTACGTCTTAGCACGTCTCATAGACTGAACTTTACAATTTAAACCTGGTTTTGTCAGATTATATGGGCAACACATGACGCTATAATGGTTCTGAAAAATTTTATGTGTTCCAGGAAGAAATTCGGGAAACGATTGTAACTGGTTCTTTTGATTCTTCATTTCAAACACCATTTCGTGAATATTCGAGCGATACCTGATTTTCGATCAGTTTTGACACAAATAGATGAATTCAATCCATAACTGCAGAACCATTACCGCACATAAGACTTTAGAACATAAGGTTTGGAGCTGAATGAAGTATTGTTTCATATTTTTCGAAGTGAAGTTTTATACAGTATTTTCACTTTATGGTCTACTCCGAAAAAACTAGAAGACTAAACTGTAGTCAGCCTTGACCAATAGATGTTTTCCGGTTTGGTTTCCGGTTGTAAAAGGACTGGTGAAAAGAAGAAAAGCAATGGAGGAGGACAAAATTATATGTTCCTTTAAGCTCTATTTCTTGCATTTAAAAAAGGGATTCGAAGAAGATAGTGAATTCTGGAAAAAGATGATGCAAATCAGACCTGAAAAGATTTCGAAATTTTTTCGGATATAGACAGAACGGACTCGTTTTGGGCACGATTAGCACCTCCTCAAAAAAGTCACAACAGCCCTTCTCTTATCATAATTTCCGATCAAATGACACTAATTGGCCCATTAGATAACCAGACCATTTTTTTGCAAAAACATTTCGACAAATAACATCACTGATCGTCGAGTATGAGTCATTTCTACAATTTCTTCTTCGTGTACGAATGGAATGCGAGAGCAGACTTTTTACATGAACTGTAGAAAGTATCAGATGAGTGAGGAAAGAAAACGACGAAACTTCTAGTCTTCGACGTAATTGAACCGCATAGACCATCTTATAGGTCTTGTAGGACAGAAAATGTCAGAGTTTCGGGGTTGAATCATTAATAAACACTTTTTAGTGGAAAAGAAAGTTATTGAGACTAACTGATGGCTCAAAAAGCAAGGTGTCAGTCAGCGTCCAATTCTTTGCAAATTAAGTGCCCAAGTTTAGTCGCAATCAAACTGATTCTGCCGAAATTCCCTTACCAGCTTTCGTTTGCTATCTTGAGTTACAATAATCTTGAAGATAAACACCTATAACATCGTAGAGGGACATGGAGTAGGCAAGTGGGAAAGTGGGGAGGAAAAGAAGGAGTTTTAGGACGTCTAAGTTAACATTTCCTTTTCAGTGCGCGGAGAAAGACACACAAAGGTTTTGTATTTCCGGTTACACTACGATTCTAAACAAAATGTAAACTGATTTATAAAGGAATCTGATAGTCATCTGTTTACCCCCCCCCCCTCCCTCACCTAATTGTTCTGATAACGGCTTGATATCCTAGTTAGTCCGTACTCTGTCAAATTTTATCTTGCTACAATAGCCCGAAAGCGAGCAAAACTTCTAAATCGCCAGAACATCATTATTCGTCTTTTGGATTTTAACTTCAGCCGAAAAAAGAGCATTTTCCGATTGCAAGTAAATATATGCTGGGTTGATTTGGCCACAAGTGTGCAAAAGATGCAAAACTCGCGTAATTTGAGGACTTCACCTAGAAAACAAGGGAAGCTTCGTTTTGCTGAACGATAGAAGTGAGCAATGAAAGAAATTCAGCATAAGCAAGAAGGCAAATAGATTTGAACCTTAAACTTTGCAGGCTTCCAACCTTCTTTGTTTGGGATATTAATTGATTTGAAAAAGAAATATTTCAACACTATTCTGCTAATTTCATCTTCCAGAAACATATCTCTATATATATAAAACTCAAAGTGTGTTTGTCTGTTAATAAGTATGTTTTTTATACAAATCTTTCTGAGTTGACTAAATGAGCTGAAACTTTGCACACTTATGTTTTGGACCCCGGCGCAGAACATAGGCTACTTTTCGCGGCGATTTACTAGATCCTTCCATTAATTTGTTGATTTGTTTACTTACATCTGGGAAAATGAGGCTTGACATGCTCAAACAAATCATTTTGCCGTGATCATTCAGTCAGGGAGTGGTAAAGCTCATTTTAATCTCAATGTCGGAAAGATGCGGGCAATGCGTTTCAAAGCCCTTTTTGCGCAGAAGAAGCTCAAAAGCGTAAGTATAAGTAACTTATTCTTAGCTAAACTAGAGTTCCGAGTGAAACCGGGACCGCCGGCTAGTGTATAATAAAATCACTATAGCAGAAATGAGAAGAAAAGATTGTTATCAGCATTATTTATTAGGCATATTTATCATAACAAGTCTTTCCCACTTGTCTTCCCATCTCCCACTTCCTGGGGCGGTATGTAACAATCGCCCGTCCGGGTAAGTTACCCGGGCAGATAGTTTCCGCTTCATAGCTCGGTGCTCTGGGAATTTGTGTTCTTCTTTGTTTGTTCATCTATTGGAGGCTCTACTACCCTAATATTATAGCACAATGAATAGCAGCACTTTGCTGTATAAGCTGAGATAATTCGTTATTTGTATGATCCCGAACGGGATCTCCCACTGATCACGCTCATTTTCAAATTTATTTATATC